AGTAAAGGGCTGGGAAAAGGCTTTCCAAGCAAATGGACATAAGAAACAAGCTGGTGTAGCTATCCTAATATCTAGAGAAAAAGGATGTTTCAAAAGAGAAGAAGTCTTGTGGCAATGCCTCAGTGGTCCAGGTAACTACCAGAACTCGGAAATCTGCGACAGAGACTAAGGCAGCAGAAATGAAACACATAGATGTACATACAGGAAATAATAAAGAAAAAGTCAGTAAAGCCAAGCAGAACAAAAGAAAGGTGGATGCTGAAGCCCATCTGTCAGATGAGCCTGTGAAAGAGGAACCAGTTACAAAAAAGAAAAAAAAAAAAGATGGAAAGCAAATCCAAAAATAGTACCGAGGTGCCAAAGGATGACGACAGAAAGATGGAGGAGACTAAGGGGGACAATAAAAAGCAAAATACTTCCATTAAAAAAGGTGCAAAGAAGAAACCTCAAAAAGGTAGGTCAAGTGAGAAGGGCAGCAGACTTGCTCAGGAAACGCAGAAGGATATAGCTCTGGCAGAGCCTCCTTTCATGGAGCTGGCTCAGGAGGAGGTCTCTTCTGGTCCTGCTCTCACTCAGGTGGTGGTCACCCCTACAGGCTCTACTCAGGCCAGGCTTCCTTCTCCCATGGATATTGCTCAGACTGGGCCTGCTCAGATGGAGCTGCCTTCTCCCCCGGAGCTTCCTCAGAGGGAGCCGCCTCCTCCCCTGGAGCCTGCTCAGAGGGAGCTGCCTTCTCCCCCGGAGCTTCCTCAGAGGGAGCCGCCTCCTCCCAAGGAGCCTCCAGGGATGGAGCAGCCTCTTCCCATGGAGCTTACTCAGATGGAACAGCCTCCTCCCATGGAGCCTGATCAGATGGAGCCGCCTCCTCCCATGGAGTCTCAGCGGGGACATTGTCAGAAGAGGCAGCTTTGTCCTTTGGACCATGCTCAGGTGGAGGTTGCTCAGACAGGGCCTCCTCACATGGGATCTGTTCAGAAAGAGTCCTGCTGTCATGGAGCCACCTCTTCAAGTGAAACCAGTCACCAAAAGGTCTTCTCCCCGAAAAGAAAGTACCAAGGAGAAGTTGGGCATTCGGAGTGAGGTGGTGCGGCAGGCGCAAGTCCTTATTGAAGTTGGCTTGGTGCCTGTTAGAGATAACCAGCTTCTGAAGGGAAGCAGGCACGCACAGGATCTTCCAAAGGGAAACTCAAGAAGAGACGAGACACCTAAGGACCAAGAAATTGGCTCTGATGGGGAAGGAAATAAAATGGCCCCTCTCAAGAAAGTGGGAACAGAGGAAGCTGGCAAGAGTCTAGCTCGCTTGCTGCTCCCAAGGAATCTACTAGTGTCTTATCCTCGGAACAAAACTCAAATGGGTCAGGTGGTGAAATGTTACATGCTAAGTGTCAGACTGGTTCAGCTGGGCTTTGTGAAATGGAAGTAGACACTGAGCAGAACCCAGTGTCCCTGTGAAAGCCTCAGCACCCGAACCGGCATCACCATTGCCTCCTGTCCCATCACCAACTGTAACGGCCTCCCCTCCTATCACTTTGGCTGAAAATGAGTCACTGGACATTGATGAAGACGAAGGCATCCACAG